TCAGTTAGTGGTCCAGCTGCTCATTTAGTGGTCCAGCTGCTCAGTTAGTGGTCCAGCTGCTCATTTAGTGGTCCAGCTGCTCAGTTAGTGGTCCAGCTGCTCAGTTAGTGGGTCCAGCTGCTCAGTTAGTGGGTCCAGCTGCTCAGTTAGCGGTGCAGCGGCTCAGTTAGCGGTGCAGCTGCTCAGTTAGCGGTCCAGCGGCTCAGTTAGCGGTGCAGCTGCTCAGTTAGCGGTCCAGCGGCTCAGTTAGCGGTGTCAACCTATCATTAATCAGATCAACAGCTGGTTCAGGAACAGATTTGTCCTCCTGCTGGTTGAGCAGTAGTCTTAAATTCGGCCCTCACACTGCACCATGCTGGCAGACTGAAAGCTTTTTGTTTGGCTGGTCCCTGAACKCTTCTCCTCTGTGTCCTTCAGGTCCGGTCGTAGCCGGAGTGGTCGGGACCAAGATGCCTCGGTACTGTCTGTTTGGAGACACGGTCAACACGGCGTCCAGGATGGAGTCCAACAGCCTCGGTAACAGATCCACAACATGAAGTCCTGCAGCTGACGGGACAAACCTTAGTGAAAAATAACATAATGAGTCTTTGCAGCCCTGAAGATCCAGTGCAGCTCCAGCACCTTCTACCTGCTGGAGGAGATCGGGGGGTACAGCTTGGAGTGCAGAGGAACGCTGCAGGTCAAGGTGAGCCCCCCACCACCACCACCACCACAGGAAGTCCCTCACTGACCYTCTGACCCGTCCCCCTCAGGGCAAAGGAGACATGGTGACCTACTGGCTGGAGGGGAAGAAGATGGCGGCGCCCYCCAGCCTCGACACCAAGGGAACCAAACCTGTCGCCATGGAGACAGAGACGTACTCACCGGTGCCGGGCTTCGTGAGCGAGGACCTGCTGATGGACCCGGCCTGATCCAGAACTCCTCCTGGTCCAGAACTCCTCCTGCTCTTCAGGAGCCGTCAGTGTTTGTTGTAAAAAAACAAGTTCAGTGTCTCAGAAATCAGTCTTATTTATCTGTTTGTTAAACATCAGTTATCCTGAAACAGTTTATTCGTTGTTTGAATAAATAGTTATATAGAATATTTTATATGTTTGTTACACATTAATAATCCTGAAACAGTTTATTCTTTGTTTAAATATTTACTAATTAGAATAAATGTTATAAACAGTAAATTCAGTGATGAAGCGTTTTGTGTAACTTTGTTATTTTTAAGTAAATAAATTAATTCAGGACTGAACCCGTCCTTTTCTGTCCTAAAGAAACCAGATCCTGGTGGTCCTGAACCAGCTGGATCCAGGTTTGGTTTTAGTTGATTAATAAATGATGACTCAGCAGATTTTCTGACTCTATGTTAAACTTTATATTTTTATGATGTAGAGTTTGAGTTTCATCATCAAAGAAACAACTTCAAACTGTCTCCACTGAACTGGTTCTGATGTGGTCTGGACTCTGATGTACTCAGTGCCCCCCCCCCACACACACACACACACACACACACACACACACACAC